TCATACAGAGTATTGACTAATTCCAAATGCTGACTAATTCCAAATATTGTAAAAATAAAATAAAAAGACTTTTAAATCATGATCATCAACTTTAATAAAGTATTGATAATTAGATACTTAAAAATTAAAATATACAAACTCCCGTAACAGAGATTAGAAAATGCACTAAATGTAGAGATGTCAATGTAGGTTGCGGCCCGCGGACTAGGCCCAAGTAAAAGCGTAATAGAGCGGATTTGGGCACACATTTAATTTAGAACCCGCAATCCGTGACGGGCCAACTCGTATGGGTTGAAATTTTTTTTGGTTCGTAACGGGTTGGGCTATTTGGACGCGGACTAGCCTATTTGACCCGTCTAAATTTTTAGTTTTGATTAAATGATTTTAAATTTAATGTTTTAATGTGTTATTCTAATTAATGATTTGAGTTTTTATTACAAAATTTAATAATTTTTTTTTTTTAATCATGAATACATATTTGGTTTCAATCTATGTTTACTTAAAATATGAATAAAGCAAGTTAGTCAAACCAAAAAATCCATTAATTATCATTTCTATCGGCCAATATTTTTACGTTTATATTATAAATACAAAACATATAACGTATATCACGAACCAAATTTAAACAACAAGTTCTTTTCCATTTATCAATCATAGTCAGAAAAAAATATCATCAAGTTATATTAATTATACAACGTATATAATAGATGTGAATGTGAGCCTAACCATAAAAGTTTACGTATATACTAAGCCAAAAACACATATACAATACAAATTGATATGGTACTATGACAAATCAATGAAAATCATGCTTGGTTTGTTTTAATTATTTGTTGCCTTCTTAAATATTAGTTTAAACTTTTATTTTGAATTTCAAGCAGAGATTGACGTGTTTGAGTATTAATTTTGAGTTAAAGATTATGACTCAGTTTAGATTTTTAGAATTTGATATTTTGATGTGCTATTGATATTCTAATTTGATTTGGATTGAAAAAAGACCTTAGACGAGAGTTTCCTTTTGATTCACATAAGTTTTGTATACTAGATATTTGAAGTAGTTAAAACCCGTTTCTTTAGTTTTGGTTATGTATTCGCGTTTGACATGTGTACACAACAAAGCCTTAGACGGGAGCTTGCTTCTAATACACATTAGTTTTGTTTCATTCATGTCTTGTGTTTCAATGTTACATTTTTTTTTGTACGTTGTAGCAAGACTATCATAA